TAGGTATCTAGCTTTGATATGGAGAGCCCACATGTATATATATAGCATGTAATATGTGTAAAATAATAATAGAAACTAGTAATGAGTAGGGATAAATTTGGTTATTATCCAATGGGTATGGATAAGATTAGGAAGGGTGAAAAATGAATAATGATGATATGGATTGAGGCATGGACAAGAATGGATATGTCCATACCCTCCCCAGTGGGAGGTATACACATGGGTATGAAGCAATGCGTGGCGCTAGACCATGTGACAATCGACCGTGTGGGGTTGAGACTGAGACATAAGAACTGATTGTTTTTAAAAAAAAAAGAAAATCATAATGAGGAAGCCCTATGCCGGGGCCGCGCCGAGGAGCACCGGCCGCCGCGTCGTGGACCTGCGCTGAGGAGCACCGGCCCTGCTCGCCCGCCCTCCTCCGTCTTTTCTTCTCTCCATGGCAGCTACCCTACCCCATGAGGCAAGCCCCTCCCAAGCAAGCCGCTCACAGCACACAATGGCCACCAAAGTGCCCCTCGCTACCGGCCCGGGAGGAGGAAGACGATGGGGAATTTTTTTTTTCCAGACATTGACAAGTGGGACCTATCCAAGGGCAAATCTGTCCATTCAATTCAAAATGACCTTGTATGGATCTGAATCTAATCTGTTACCCAAATGGTTTCGTGGTGGATCTCAGATTCACTAGTGGAGCTGCTCCCTAGTGAATCCCAGATCCAGATTCAGTTTTTCTGGAGCGTCCCAAACATGCCATTGACCTACCCATTCGAAGGGGGCACTCAGAACTCTAGGAAGCCGATTGCTCACAGACAAGATGCGACCAAGTTAACACTTAAAAGACCGCTTAGATCCTTTGCCGTGCTTATGTTTAGCCTTCCCAAGTAATAAGGATACATAAAAGCAAGGTTTTTTCTTGCTTTGTGAAAGAGCCACTTGCCTGGCTTGACACAGATTTACTAGCCTGGCCAGACAAGGCAAGCTAGACTTAGAAACCGATCACCCCCTTGATTTCTTATTTGGAGAGCAAGAATGTAGGGTAGGGCCAAGAAAATACTTGTGTGTGTTATCTCTGATCGCAGAATCTTCTTCCTGATATAAAGGATAGGTGCTACTGACCTGTACATGACCTGACGCAGGATGTGCAGAATAAGCAAAATGTTCAGCTAGACATTTTGAAGCATAAAGACAAGAGAATGACTATTTGCCAGCGTCGCTTGAGAAGATGGGTCCCTGGGTTGCATGCACCCCATACGCTTACGCTAGTGGTGGTGGTGTGTGGTGGGGTGGGTGTTTCAATCCGAACCGGTTTCACTAAAAAATAGAAGATAATAATACAGTTGTACCATGATGAGAGGCGCACAAAAAAGATAATGATACCACAAGGACGTTCGTCCCATGACTCCCGTCCGACCACGCTAAAAAAAACTTCGTCCGCTCGTTCTATTCCTCGTGACGCCTCCATCCCACCTCGCCCGCACGCCGCGCCCCACTCCGCGCTAGCTGCTGCTGCCTTCACTTGTCGCTCGGTCAAGCCCCATCCCGCCCGGGACGCTGCTACTGCCTTCACCCGTCGCTCGCTCAAGCCCTATCACGCTCGCAACGCTTTGGCTCCCTCATCCCGCGCCGCGCTCCATCTTGCGTTGCGCCGCGCGCCCCATCTCCTCCCTCACCCCCACGCCCACCGACACACGCATGGCCACGTCCGTTCCCACGTCGTCCCTGCCCCGCCGGTCAGCTCAAATGGGTTCGTGCTGTCGGCGGTGGCGAGGGTGCTGCAGCAGTGCACGCGCGTGTAGAGGCGACCTAGGAGATGGCGCTCCTCGCGGGACCCCTCTAGGTGGCGGCCCTTCTCGGCCTCCTGCTCGGCTAGGCCTCCTTCTCCACCGTTGCCGCTCTAATCCCCACCAGGTAGGCCGTGGCCGCGCGACAAAAACTGTGTTTCAAGTGTGTTTCAACATAGTGTTTCATGTGTTTCAGATGTTTCCAAGTTATGTTTTAAGTGTTTTATCTGGATGTTGCAGAAATATATCTTGGATGTTGCATATGTTGCAATGATAATATACGAATGTTGCAAGCCTATGTTTCAAATGTTTCAGACGTACATTGCAAATGTTTCATCTGGATGTTTCAAAAGTAGATCTTGGTGTTGCATATGTTGCAATGGCTATACATGCATGTTTCAAGCACATGTTTCAAGCACATGTTTCATGTGTTTCATCTGCTTTTAGACGTATGTTGTAAATGTTTATTTGGATGTTTCAAAAGTAGATCTGGTGTTGCACGTGTTTTTTTTACTCTGGTGTTGCACATGTCGTAACGGCGTTGGAGGTGACCGGCGTTACAGCGGCCTTTCTCGCACGGTGTGCCTCGCCCTCCTCTCCCTCCCCTCCCTTCCCTTCCCTTCCCTTCCCCTTCCCTCCATCTCCTTGCTGCGGCAGTTCGAGTTCGACGGGGAAACCATACCCGACTAGCGCGCAAGCGCCCGTGGAGGTGGTGGCCTCAGGTGGGCCCAACGGCTGCGCGATGCCCGCATGGTGGCCCTGCAGTAAGCTGAGGTCCGCGCCATCCGCTCACTACACGCGGGAACAGAGGAACCACGGGTGTCTAGCGCCCGGCTGAAAAAATAAATCGGAACCAGCGTCCCTGTCAAGCACATTTCCATGACACGAGGATGACAGATTGATCATGTCGGATGTGTAAACCCAGGCGTGAAGTAATGGGTAAAGTATTGGGTTTAAGCAACAGGGACACGAAGACAGAAGCAACCAACGTGCAGTGCAAACACTAGTCCCCAATAACACGCTCAACTCCCATTTGTTGAAGCAGATGACAACGACAACTCTCATTCTACTTTGGTGTACATACTTAACAAGAAGGATCGACAAGTATCACGGCTGGAAAAACAACATTAACTTATCCCCAAGCATCCGTTATACGGAGTACATCGTTCGCATTCGTCATTTGATTGGCGTTCCGGTATTCCACAGTCAACCATCACCAACTACCAGCACAAAATGGAATGTCAATGTACCTGAATGGTATTTGCAATGAGCACCTGATAATGTTGCAATAATGGATGTGACATACGACTCATTCGTATGACCAGGTAATCTAGCCCCTTTGATAAGAGAACCACCACCAAGTGAACCATCACAATTTCAATGTCCAACTACTTGATCTCCTAGTTGTAACACGGTAGTACTCCCTCCGTGGACAAATGGATGGATTGATGGAACGTGCATAACACTTAACAGCACTCGCGTAACTAGTATGTGATGCATCGCGGCAAGAAAATCGTGCGCTCTCACTTTTCAGGCCTGCTGCACACCACCGTCAGAAAGCTGGGCAGACAGGCAGGTGTCAATTCGTTTTCCCCGAGCCCATGACACTGAATGACAGCAACATTTACGAACTAAATTTGCTAATGTTAATCTGCCCCAGAGGACTGAAAGGAATATTCGGTTCAATGATGATAGGAAGTGACAAAAGAATGGCCAGAATTTTTACGTCTGCGTCTGTTCAATGACAGCAGAGGGTCTCTACCTGTTCGCTTGAACTTATCAGTCGGCTTATCAGCTAGAATCTACAATATTTTTTTCTCACACTAAAACAGTTTCAGCCGACTTTAATGACAGCCGAACAGGCCACCATCGATCAGATGGCAGTGATGAAACAGGTTGGGAGGGCAGGCCAAAGGAATGTAGGAGTAATAGCTCAACAGCAACCACGAACTGGAAACACTGTACACACTTTACAGAAGCATCTACCGTAAAAAAATGATAATGGGGGCGAAGAAACCAACAACACGCAACCTTGCATCACGCATCACTGAACAAAAAAACAAAAAAAAATGTACCCAGTGCAGAGAGCTCTCGCACTGTGCGGGATCTAGGGAAGGATGTCAGTGGCAAGCCTTACCCTCGCCTGTGCAATGCGAGGAGACCGCGACTCAAACCCAAAACCTTTCAGTCACAGACGGTAAGACTCTCCCGCTTGCACCAGACCCGCCCTTCATCCTTGCCCTACATCAAGTACAGTGTGCAAAGTACTACCATGATACATCAAGTACAGTGTGTAAAGTACGCATCACTAAACAGATTTACTTTATTCCCATGATACATCAAGTACAGCGTGTAAAGTACTACCACATCCTTGATCTACAATCTAGCTTTTTTATTAAAAAATCGCAATGATTAATTTTACAAAATGCCAAGGCAAGGCAATGGACTACTGTGATGACAACTAGACAAGCAATAATGTAACATGCAGATCGCACACAAGGCAAAGGAAGTCTCCCAAGGAAGCTTATATATGCAAGCAACCATGGGGAAAACACTAACCAGAGTTGTCCGTTGAAGGAAACCAAACCCACAGAGATTTAAAGCTCTCACAGACAAGGCAGCTATGCTGATATTTGCATTAGGGATCGGGCTCATTCCAATGACGCTCATCTTCCCACCATGCAGGCGCCTGGTTCTCCTTGTTGCCAAGCTCCAGGAACTAGAAGCGAGCATCATGCGCAGTAGGTCATCATATCCAGCAGTATGGAGTCGCATAGCAAGGATACAAACAATAAGCATCACGCTGTGAAGGAAGATTGGAAGTAATTCCCAATCGAGATATGCAATTGAACTTTCAGGTGGGCAGCCCTCATTAGAGTCATTTCCTTCAAGGCCTGTTTGTTTGAACTGCAGTTTTTGGGCTTTTGGCTCAAAGCTGGCTTTCTAGCTTTTGGATTCTGGCTGTTGCCTTTTTTTTTATTGACTTCTGTAATTTCAACTTCTAGCTTCTGAAACAAACAGGCCCAGTCATGTATCGGGTGAGTGCCACCTCAACTACCCTAGTTCATGACTAGTCTTACCCTATAGATGTTTTCTTGAAAGCTGAAATTCCTCCTTGTATGCAATGCAAGATGGACATAGTAAGGAAGCAATGTTATCTTCACACTTACTGTCCAATTTTCCCAACCAAATAACTTATCTGCGGGTGGACTTTACAGTTTACAGTGCAAAATGATCAGTATCCATTGATGGAAATCCTGACTGTAACCTTTTTATCCCTTGCAACATATTTTTAGCAGTCTCCTTCTCCTGCACATATTGAATGCATATCAGCATATGAAAGCACTGGTGACAGGTAACCAGAATCATGGGATCAGTGAACAGTTTCATTAGATGCCTTTGTTTCACTTGTAAACCTTGTGGTACTAAATGTTAATGGAGTTAACTTGTGTTGCTCAAAATAACTAGGTTCATGTTGGTTTGAACAATGGATTATACTCAACATTAACTCATTGTTAGCTAATTTCGGTGTAGAGATTTGGTTTTCTATGTTCACTTCTTTCACTCTTTTGAGAAAATAATATATACAAAGAACTTACTGGGCCAGTGTAATCCAAGAGCCTTGTGCAATAGTGCTCGGCTTCCTCGAACCTGCCTATGCTCTTGTAATGCTTAGCAAGGAACAGCAGAGCTTCAACAAAATTCTGGCCTTGCCTTTCCTCAACCTCCATTCTCTCTAAATCCTTCTTGTAGTAGAACGCAGCTTCCTCAGATTGCCCCAGCATGCCATGCAATTTTGCTAGTTGGTGAAGTGCTATTCCTTCAGTGTCATTGCTATTTGCAGCTCTCTCATAGCACTTGATGGCTTCTTCGATCATTTGAAGTGGATCACTTTCGTAACACTGAGCCATTGCAATCCAGAGACGAGCATCATTGGGTTGCAAGTATGACGATTTCCGGAAGTAATGAAGTGCATAAAACGGCATCCCCATCATCTCATAGATTTGACCAAGACCATACCAAGCACGGAAATCTCTAGGATTAATATCAACAGCTCTTCTGTAGGCATCAATTGCAGCAGGAGTATTTTTCAGTTCAACATACTCATGCCCCATCAGGGTCCAAGCTGAGAGGTACTTTCGATTAAGCTTTAGTGCCCTTTGAAAGTACAAAACTGATTTCTCATGCTGACCCTTCAGACTGTAGTAATTTGCAATTATGCAGCAAGATTCTGGGAGGTATTTGTCTGTCAAAAATACTCTGTGCGCAAGGAAACTCAAAGCAGTCAAGCTTTCTTTTGCATATAGTAAATTTGAGTAAATATCCATAGAATCCACACGAAAAGGATCAGTCCTGAGCAGATCTTCAAAAATCATCTCAGCTTCATCAAGGTCCCTCATACTGTACCGAACTGTTGCAATTTGAGCCTGAATGTAACCACTGCAGCGGAAGACCCCCATCAAGCGCTCATATCTTTTAAGAGCTTCTTCATGCATCTTTAGTTCCAGATATGCACTGGCAAGAAAGAAGTCCTTCATCCAGTGATTCTTCAGATTTAAGTTGTTTAAAATGTCACTGCTGGTACATAAAGATTGTAACTCTGACCAAGCACTCCAGTTCCAAGGATAGCTATTGACAGATTCTACCAAGATCGTTCTAGCTAGACCTTCACATCCTTTATCACGTAGAACAATGCCATACAAGTAGAGTCCAAACGAATCAATAGAGCCAGTTCTTCGGTGTGTTGAGAGCTCTTTCTCCAAAGCAACTAATTCCTGATTAACAGCATTACTCTTGCCCAACGATCCTTCAAGCTCTATCATCTCTGCCTCTTTCCGCTTCTCTCCAGCCTAAAATAGCAGAGCAAATAGATCATTAATTAAACTATGGACCAAGTGGAAAACAACTTGGGGGCATTAGCGAACTTTCATAGAGTCGGTGGACAAGGGAAGGGGGGCACATTAAATTGCACACATAAATCCTTTAGCAGAATAACAGATTAAACGAAAATTTGCAGACAATGTCACAAATACTACTACACTTACAATCCCAAATCATGCACAATCAGTAAAACAAACAACTTGACACTAAAAACTAAAAAAAAGTACCTGTAATGGAGTTTTAGCTCGTAAATGTTACCATTCTTCACATTAAACAAATATTACCAGCCAGCAGAAAGGATTTTAATGCTTGCAGATAATTATTTTGACATGGAAAAATGTTATTGTTCTAGAACAAATACGAATAATTTTCATTTAGCAGTTACAACTTACAAGTGGCATAGCCAGAATTTATGGCAGGACATAGCTTTCGTTACAAGTATCAACATTGAATAGAAATTGCCAATCATTTAAGGGACTTGTTTTAACAACAACAACAAAGCCTTTAAGTCCCAGACAAGTTGGGGTAGGCTAGAGTTGAAACCCAGCAGAAGCAATCAAGGTTCTGGCACGTGAATAGCTGTTTTCCAAGCACTCCTATCTAAGGTTAAGTCTTTGGGTATATTCCATCCTTTCAAGTCTCCTTTTATTGCCTCTACCCAAGTCAACTTCGGTCTTCCTCTGCCTCTCTTTACGTTACTATCCTGGCTTAGGATTCCACTACACACCGGTGTCTCTGGAGGTCTCCGTTGGACATGTCCAAACCATCTCAACCGGTGTTGAACAAGCTTTTCTTCAATTGGTGCTACCCCTAATCTATCACGTATATCATCGTTCCGAACTCGATCCCTTCTTCTATGACCGCAAATCCAACGCAACATACGCATTTCCGCGACACTTATCTGTTCAACATGTCGTCTTTTTGTAGGCCAACATTCTGCACCATACAACATAGCAGGTCTAATCGCCGTCCTATAAAACTTGCCTTTTAGCTTCTGTGGTACCCTTTTGTCACATAGGACACCAGATGCTTGGCGCCACTTCATTCACCCTGCTTTGATTCTATGGCTAACATCTTCATCAATATTTCCGTCTCTCTGTAGTATTGATCATAAATATCGAAAGGTATCCTTCCTAGGCACTACTTGACCTTCCAAACTAATATCTTCATCCTCCCGAGTAGTAGTGCCGAAGTCACATCTCATATACTCAGTTTTAGTTCTACTGAGTCTAAAACCTTTGGACTCCAAAGTCTCCTGCCATAACTCCAGTTTCTGATTCACTCATGTCCGTCTTTCATCAACTAGCACTACATCGTCCGCGAAAAGCATACACCAAGGGATGTCCCTTTGTATGTCCCTTGTGACCTCATCCATCACTAAGACAAACAGATAAGGGCTCAAAGCTGACCCTTGATGTAGTCATATCCTAATCGGGAAGTCATCCGTGTCTCCATCACTTATTCGAACACTAGTCACAACATTGTTGTACATGTCCTTAATGAGTCCGACGTACTTCGTTGGGACTTTATGTTTGTCCAAAGCCCACCACATTACATTCAAGAAGTTATAATTGTGAGGGCTTAAAACAAGGCTTGTTTTAAGCCCTCACAATTATAACTTCTTGAATGTAATATACCCATCAAATTCTATCATCGCAGCAAAACTTCCCTACTAGTGTGGAATACATGGCCATAGAGCTATTATTGGTTCACATCTTCCATTATTTCTTATGCTCATAGAGCTAACAACTTATCAATAAATAGCAAACCAATAGCTATGTGGAATGTGGAATACATGGCCAGAGCTTTTACAAATGTCAAACAATTCTATTCGCTTAAAGTACATGAGCACAAACCACAAAGCACTATACAGAACCCATAAATTGGACCATTGCAAGTTGGAACAGCTCTTATTACTCGTTAGTCCTGCAATCCAGTTCTGTTCAGTCTTTTAGGTAAAATCACAGTAAACCAGATTTTAGTAACCACTCCATTCTCACATGAAAGTAACTAAACAGACTTCTGAGCCACTAAAACATGTCGATCCACCAAAATAAAAGAGAGGCATTTCATCAAACACCACTCGCCCTATACCAGATCTCGCAGATGCGCGAGAAAATAAACACAGCAAGTAAGAAGCCGATCCTATCTCACCATGTAGAGCGCATAGCATCGCAGGAACACAGTCTTACGCCCGACCTGCTTCTGCAGCACATGCGCAGCGCGGCGGTACTCCCGACAGTCGAAATAGGTCTTGGCCAGCAGGTATTTGTCGCCGCCCGAATCGAACGCGTCGTCGTCGGGGATGGGCGTGCTGACGTACGACACGCCACCGAGCGGGGTCCCGGCCTCCGAGCTAGTGCCGCCGCCGGGGCGGGGGCGGTGGCGGAAGCTGGAACCCCCACTACGGTGCAGGTGCAATAGCCGCCCCGCGGAGGTCGCGGACGAGGAGGAAGGGGTGTCCATCGCGGCCGACGGGACCGGGGACGCATCCGGCTCTACACCAACGAGTAGCTCGGCGGCCCTGCGGAAAAGAGAGCGGATTGTTAGGGTTCGGGGTTTAGGGTTTGAGGAAGTGGGCTTTGACGTGGGGCATACCATTTAGCGGCGGAGTAGAGGCAGCGCTCTCCAAGCTGGCGGGCGGCGGCGCGGAGCTCGGCGCGATAGGTCTCCTTGGCGGAAGCCATTGCTCCGGTCGGGGCTTGCTTGGAGCGGACCGACACAGTGAGAGCGCAAAATTTGTTTGAATTTTTGCGAGATGTGGAACCGTGGAGTGGATGGAAGTGGACGATGATGACAGAGACAATTCGTGGTGTGCCATAAAAAAAAGTTGCAATACCTCGTGTCGTGTGCTCCTGAAAATGTTCAGCGGTCTTCAGCGTCACTGCTCTAATTTTTTTATATCATCCATGCCACTCCTGTCAGTTTGGGTTTTAATACCGTCAAACTACAGGTGTGAAAAGACGAAAATGCCCTTAAGTGTAAATATGTCTTTAATTTATTTTGAGCATTTTAACGACTTCAGATGAAAAAACTCAAAACTAGAAAGTTGTAGACCTCGTCGAGATCTATAATTTTCATATAAAAATTATTTTTATTTAATTCCGCAAAAAAAATATGATTTGATATTATTAATATATCTTAGGAAAATCATATTGTTTTTTTTTCGAAATTAAATAAAAATATAAAAATTATAGATCTCGATGAGATCTACAACTTTATAGTTTTGAGTTTTTTCATTTGAAGTCCTTAAGATGCTCAAAAAAAATAATGACATATTTACACTTAAGGGCATTTTCGTCTTTTCACACCTGCAATTTAACGGCGTTAGAGCCCAAACTGATGGAAGTGGCATGGAGGGCACGAAAAAATTGGAGCAGTGGCGCTGAAGACCACTGAACTTTTTCAGAGACACACAAAGGCATTGCGATCTTTTTTAATGGCACACAGGGAATTCCCCCATGATGATATTGAGCTTTGTGCAGGTGTGGGAATTTGGAGTTGGGAGGCAGAACTTGGTTGGGTTGGGCCTGACCACGAAGAATGGCAAAGGGAACTAGACCTACTATGGTTGGTCGGTCGTTATTGGAAAAAGAGTAAAGTTTATAGCCGGATCTTGTCATCCCGATGCCGAAGAGTGCTTATTTCGGTCCTTAAATTTTGTTGAGACTTTTACCTGTGTGTCATTAAAAAAGTTTGTAATTATACATAAACCATTTAAAAAGTTGACCGCACACAGGTGCCACTGCTCTAAACTTCTTTGCCTTACAAGCCATTCTGTCCTTGTTCTGTTTGTTTTTCGCTGTTTGGTAGCCTTTACAGGTGGGACCGCCCAGTGAAATTGTCCATATTGCCCTTGGACGGTGGCCTGGTCCCACAAGATTCAGCTAATCGGAACTCGGAAGGCTATCCACAATCTCGTCGCCTGGTCCTCGGCTCCTTGGGCGTACTGCCGCTAGCCCGCTACTGCCCAGAAATATGGCGGCGGCGATGGCAAGGTGTGTCGCTGGCCTTCTCCCTCTCCTTCTCTCCTTGCGGTCCGGTGCTTGCATAGCCCTTCACCGGGCGGTATCCTACATCCCTCCGCCTCGCTCCTATCGCCTACTCTCGTAGCAGGCCAAGCCATCCCCCTTCTCCGCCTTCGTGTCGAATGGCACGGCTGCAGAGAGAACCCGGGAGCTGCATCTGTACAACACGAAGTCACGGAAGAAGGAGCAGTTTTGGCCGCGCGATCCAGGCGGGGAGGTCGGCATGTACGTCTGCGGCGTCACTCCCTACGACGACAGTCACATCGCCCATGCCCGTGCATACATAGCCTTTGATGTCCTCTACAGGTTTCCCTCCCTCTATTACGTTCATGATTCGGTTAGTTCCTGCAACTGCGAGCTCTGTTAATCTGACGGTACACTTGATTCACTCACAGAGCCCTTATGGAACTCGCCCTCGTAGCAGTCCCCATTGCTGAAGAACTCAACGCCCTCCCACACGATGCGTCCGTGCGGCACGGCGGCCTTGTCCGCCCGCTTCTGTGGCTTGTCATTGTCGTCCCCGATGAACCACTGGATGGAGCCAGAGCCCGACAAGCGCGCGCAGGCGCAAGCGTCCCTAGAGCAGGCGCGCGGCCCTCGCGGCGGCGGCGAGCGCGGCGGCCGCGGACGTCGTGAGGAGGGCGAGGTGGTGGTCACCGCCTCCGCCGCGGAGGACGAGGAGCAGGAGCAGGAGTAGGAAGGCGAGCGGGAGCGCGAGGACGAGCAGCGGGTGGTCGGGGCCGCCGAAGCCACCGCCGCCAGGGTGGAAGTGGTGCAGCGGGGCCTTGGGGTGCACCTGGGCCTTCTTGTCGTCGGGCTCTGGGTCCTCGACAACCACGCCCTGGAACGACGAACAGTTACACACCGTGCCCGAGCGCAGCAGCGAGGACGGCGTCTGCGTCAGCTTGTCGGCCCCCGCCCCACCGCCGTAGCCGTCCATCCCTCGCCGCCGCCGCTCCCCTACCCCGACGCCTCCGTCCCTCTCCTCAATCTCTGGCGGATCTCCGTCTCAATCAAATCCCTAGAGCAGATGCGCCGCGCAAGCGGGGCAGGCAGGCAGAGGATGGACGGCCACCGTCCAAGGGTAACATGGACAATTTCACTGGTCGGTCCCACCTGTAAGGGTTACCAAACGGCGAAAAACAAACAGAACAAGGACGAAATGGCTTGTAAGGCAAAAAAAGTTTAGAGCAGTGGTACATGTGTACAGTCAATTTTTTTAATGACTTAAATATAATTACAAACTTTTTTAATGGCACGCAGATAAAAGGCTCAATTTTGTTTGGTCTCGTATTGTATGTATCACGTGTCAGCTCTATCTCCAATCTTTCACCTCTCTCATGGCCATGGCTAGCTCGTCCCCATGTGCCCGTGGCGGCGCTAGCGCCAGCGTGCTAGTGCCGAGTCGCAGCAGCAGGTTCCACTGGTGATTCCAAGCCCTACGACTGTCGCGTTCCACCGGTTCGAACAAGTCCCATCGCCACCGACGTCGCCATCGGACCACCACCGCGGCGGGCACAACCTCAAGCTCCAGCTCATGCCGCCGCCCTGCAGCAGCGCGGGCAGTGGGTACGGGGACGCGGGCGAGCGTGGATCTGCAACTGTTTTGCTCACTCGATCTTGCCGCGACTTATTACCATCCACAGAGCCACGCCGCCGCCATGCAGCTGCAGCTGTCCATTGGCGTCTGCGGTAGCGGGTTCGGGGACGCGGGCGAGCGTCCTAGCCGCAGCGAGGGAGAAGAAAGAGGAGGTGCGAGAGGAGCTGCGACAGGCGGCGGCGCAGAACGCGGCGGCAGACGCAGGTGAAGCGACGCACACGGAGCTGGCCAAGCAGGAGCTGGCGAGCGCCAAGCGGATGCGGCGCCGGCGCAGGTGGAGCTGAGCCACGCCCACGCGCTCCGGGAGCACGCTGTGCGCCATGTGAACGCGACGCTTCTCCAGATAACCTGCCTCTGCTGCCGCCACAAGTTCCGCGCGTGGCCGCAGCTGGACGCCGTGGCCCTCGACCCCGAGGTGGCCTGCAGCTACATGTACAATCACCCGTCTATGTACACCAGAGATGAGAACCTGAGCCACGCACACAGCCCCCCTCTCTCTCTATCACGCGTGCATGTACGCCAGAGATCAGAGATCGTGCGCGTGCCTGTCTGTGGCCGCGGCTATTGCTCGCCTGCGTGGCCGCGCGGTGCTGCTGCGATGCTGTCGCAGCATGCGGCGGCGGCGGCTCCTGCGCCCACATGCGCAAGCGGCGTCGTTGCTCGCCTCACTTTCTGCCATGGCATGGCAAGCATGGCGGCTCGCGCCGCGCCCTGCGCACATGCGCTGCCAGGATGAGGAACAAGATGATTATTTTCAAAATAGCCCCGCGTGAAGTTTGTAAATATTTGTGTAGTTTACGTGTCTGCGTGATTTCGTTTATAACCCTCGCTAATCTTTTAATTTAAGCAATTGAGTCTTATCTATGCTCGCGAGCATAAATCCATACCCGTTTAGATAAATATGAGACCCAAGCAGGGGTTAAGGACTGTAATGACACATTTTCTATGTTCGGGGACGGGGATGACACACCCGTACAAGTTCGAGGATCGGCCATGGACTTTACTCTTGGAAAAAAAAAAGTACGTATATTTATCTCAATATATAGATTGAATATATAAAATTGTGGAGAAAATTCTCCCCTGCCGCCACCTCAGAATGATATTTTTCTCATCGCTTAAGGCAAGTCTCAATGGAGTTTCATTCTCATTTAATGCTACGCTGCATCAAGAAATTTGTTAAGTTAGCAGGCTAACTACAAAGAGCATGTTGCAGAGCAGATGCGTTCATGCTTTTCCTACGTTGTTGTGCGCTAGGAGACTAGCGTCTGTTTGGGACACCTTATTTCTAGCTAAACAATCAAATTACCTAGTAATCTAGATTTTCTATAAAGAGATTGTCAGTTTTGAATATAAAAAGACTTAAATGCCCTTAGAGCTTATAATGTCTTGATTTGCCTCACGAGCAAGCGTCATGTGGCTACCTTCCACCTCGGAGTGCGTCGCTTCCTTCTCGGTCATGTGTGTCGGTGTGTCTCTACACAATCGACCAGAAAATACTGATGAGCTACCTCCGCACATCAATACATCACAAACTCCTCTTTCTTTTGGCTTGCTTTTGTTCAATTTGATGCATCTCAGGAATTTACAGTTTGTTTGTTTGGATCATATATAAATTAGCTTTACAGTTTGTTTGGGTCACCGAAATTGTCCAGTGCACCACCAAAGCTTTGCACAAGAGAGTGGGTCCAATAAAGATATTTTCTAACCAAAACTCATCTTGAACTCACTAGATTTCTCCGGTGCTCCACCAGAGGGATGCATAGAAGCTTGAACACAGTGAGCATGTTTTTAAAGTAGGGGTTGTAGAGTTCACAGGAACTCTTTGATGCATCATCGAAGAAGTCACCAATGTTTAGAACGACTATGACACTATGTTAGTTACCATTGAGTATTTCTTCGGTGCACACAATTTCTGCACAAACAGGGTATAACTGCTAGTGTGTATTCGGAGGCTATATATATTGGTTCGCCCAGTCATAGGGACCTCTCTTGGACACTTACAAAGCTTCACACACATACTAGAGCATACTTTGAGCATCTACTTTGATACACTTGCATA